CACGAATTAATGCCTGTAAATCTTATAGTCTCTGTCCGTTTCACTGCTTACTTTACACATTGATAGTAGACAGCGCACCACTACCAACGAAAAAGAGCTGTCTATTTGACAGCCACAGCCTGTGTTGACGGTAGGGAATAATTTGGCCCTTCGAACCATTTTGCTGATTACTCGACCATAAAATATTAACTGCTCGTTAACCTATTTACAAGCAGGCATAAAGTTTAAAGAAAGAGTACTTAGCATATGGTTCTTTTACCGAGGAACGCATTAGCAGCTCCTGTGAATTTTTACTCTGCATTGCATGCTCAACCGTTATGGTGTTACTACAAAAGCTGTCAAGTCTCCCCTTTATGATCCTAATAAATATAGTATTACAATCATCGCGTGCATCGTCTCCCTAAAATAAGGAAGAAGAAGAGGGGGCGGGTTCATGGACCAATTTATACTTGAACTGACTTTTCGGAAACCTTTCTCGCTTCCATCGTCATAGTATTGTGGTTACTGTCTATGGTGGTGTTGAGTTAGCCAGCCTTGCCATCCGCCTCGTATTATATCTGTGCTGGACTTGCAAACTTTGACCTGCCTGTTCGTTGCCGACTGCATTAGGTCTCTCGAAGGTTGGCTGCTGGTGGGCTTGCGTGACCTTCCTGTCTTCTGCGGTCAGCGTAGTTTTAGGCGATTCAATATGTTTGCTGGTCTCCCCACGTCAACCGGCGGACTGATCAATCGTTGCTGTTCACTTGAGTTGTTCTTCGCGTCGCGTGTGTGATGGTGAGACAGTGCTTGATGTTGGCCGCATGACCTCAGAACTCCACTCCTATTTTTTGCTTAGGCTCTCGATTCTCCGTACGCGTTTGCCCTACTGGCTCTGGCAGACTTGAGCCGAGCCTTGTGCGAAGTGCCTGGTAGGTAAAATTCAAGTCTATGGCTCTGTGGATCGTGCCAGTGGAGGACCAACTTTCCAGCACTAGGCTGGCCATTTTCTCTTTGGTCCTGCCGATCACCCTCGCCTTCTCAAAGGCGAAGTCGTGGTTCAGCTGTTGTACATGAACAGAGAACAAAAAGAGCTTGTCCTTGCGATTGATTGCTAGTTGATGTTCGCGCAATCTTATGCCCAGACGTTTGCCCGTTTCACCAACATACCTCGCCTCGCAGTTTTTGCATAGTATGCTGTAAACCACGGCTGATTGCTCGGGCTGAAACGTGGGAACACTGAAGTCAGCAAATTAATGAGGCAGGAGCAGTGTCAACTAAAGTCTGCTCATACAGTCTGACAAAATTAAAAAGGACGAATGCTAGGATCTGATTCCATCTATAAAGGCTTTACAGTAAACAGCCACATCCTGAGATGCGAAATGACTTTATGCTAATGTAAACAGTAGCCCTTCGTCGTTTAATTCTGACGACTTACTACGAACAAACAGGAGGAATACTGGAAATGTAGTATCAGAGTTGTTTATTATCGTCAGCCTCAGTTACATATATTAAGTTACCACGCACACTGACGGAATTGAGAGTGCCCCCTACTTTGAGTTTATTCCAGTTATGAAGTGTTTGGAGAAAAATCGTAAATCCTCAGGTTTCCGCCTCCCCTACCTAAAATGGATTAATTTGTTTCTTCCTGATGGCAAGCAAGAATGCGTGAGTTTCCTTAAATCTGCGTATTGCGGAAGCAATTCGTCAACTGAAAACCAAACACGACGGTGCTGAGAATTTTCAAAAATTCAAATAAACGTTTAGATAATAAATGGCTATTTTCCTTGTAAGGGGCTCATTTATACTGTATGACGAGTGTTGCAGGCGACAGTCATGACTTGGTAGTTTCGCACATATTTGGTTAAGTTACTTTTACTCTTTGAGTGGATTTAATCCTCATGAAGCATTTTTAAGTCAGTTTACCTTGGGTATTAGGCAGCAAATGGCTTACCAGCAGGAAGGTGTTATCTTTTAATGACCGAACACTATACTTCCCACTAGGTAAACATCTGTGTAAGGCGTACTTTTGTACAAAATATGTACAAGAAATTTTTTTAAGCTTCCTAGAACACATGTTTGAAGTTCTAAGCGCATTAATAAGTCTCCGAAAAATACAGGTAATAGGAGGAGTCATTTTGACAAATTGTAGGTTTAAAAAATGCCGGAAAAAAGTTTGTTTCAAAACCGTAGTGCTGAGTTAATTACATGTTGATACTGAATTTAACTAAAATAATATGAACCTTCTGCCAAAATATGCCTTAAAAAATAAAAAAAAAACGAAGTTCAGCACTTGATAAGATATCATGCCTACTGCACTAAAGTTAACACGCACAAAAATCGTGTTCCCAACGCAAGTGCGCCAAATGACGTTAAGCGCGGCCCTTTTTGACAGCCACACTCCACGTTTGAAATTAGACGACAACCAGGCACCATTTAGTACTTTAAACATTTTCGCTAATGTCCAGACCACCAACAGCATCTTCCCTCCCCAGATGACTTGTTTACTAGCATGCATGGGGACAGGAAGAATAGGACCTTCCTGGCTACGTTAACGTCCATGCTGTTGACATATAAATAGACCCTCCAAACGGATTTCGAGCTGGAAATAACGGGAAA